TGGTTCAGATGATGTTAGATAATGGGTTTGATAAAGTGAAGCTGTTTGAAGCGGATGAGAAAATTTTGGGAGCCTTGATTGGAACCAATCTTGAAGTGATGCTCGGAATTCCAAATAACATGTTGAGGGAGATCAGTCAGGATCCCGAGGCTGCTGCTTCTTGGGTTGATGCCAACATCACTGCTTATTGCTTCAAGGGAGGGGTAAACATCAGGTTGACTCGCATGATAATTTTCCTTAATTAGATTCTACAGTCTACATCTTTCTTGGTCGACTTTGTTTTGGGATTTTGGGAGAGAACAATATGACTTCCGACGGTATTGCATGGGAAAAAAACAGAGCATCTTTTTTCTTTGTTTAGTTCTTCTCTTTATCCTTTTCTGGTGAGTTCTTGGAACTTTATAGATTTTTGCCAAATTTGCCATTTGAGAGCTTTATAGACTTTTGCCAACTTTTGTCATTTGAGAGCTCTTTATAGCTGTTTCTTGGGTTTTTACTGTTTTGATGGTGGAGGCAGTAGTGGGATTGCATTCTCTTGCTGTTGATAATCAACCTTTTCTGCCATCACCTGTAAAGTTTCTTTATTTGTACCAGCAGAATCCGGGTTACTAAATGAAACAGATTATTTTGTTTCTTATGATAAGTTTGTTTCTGAATAATTAACAACCTGAACAATGAAAATGTAGATATGTTGCAGTCGGCAATGAGCCCTTCTTGAAGAGCTATAATAATTCCTTCCTGCCATACACACTGTCGGCCCTGAAGAGTATCCAAGAAGCCATCAACCATGCTGGACTTGGAACAGTCGTGAAAGCAACAATTCCTTTCAATGCCGACGTTTACAACTCGCCGGAATCAAATCCGGTCCCTTCTGCTGGTGATTTCAGGCCGGAAATACGCGACCTCACGGTCCAGATAATCCAGTATCTCCATTCGAATGATGCCCCTTTTGTTGTTAACATCTATCCTTTTCTCAGCCTCTATGGCAACATTTACTTTCCTCTGGACTATGCTTTCTTTGATGGATCAAACAAGCCTATAAAAGATGGTGATTATCTTTACACCAACGTGTTTGATGCAAATTTTGATACTCTTGTTTCCTCATTAAGTAGAGCTGGGTACCCTGAGATGAAGATCATTATTGGAGAAGTCGGGTGGCCAACGGATGGGGATAAGAATGCCAATATCCAGAATGCGAAAAGATTTAATCAGGGATTGATTCAGCATGTTTCTGGTGGAGTTGGAACCCCTGCTAGAAATGGCAGCATAGATGTGTACCTTTTTAGCCTAATAGACGAGAATGCCAAAAGCATTGAGCCTGGCAGCTTTGAGAGGCACTGGGGACTTTTTGAATTTGATGGGAAGCCAAAATATGAGTTGGATTTGTCAGGGTCTCGGGAAGAAAAAGGTCTAGTTGCAGTTGAAGGTGTAAGATACATGCTAAGGAGGTGGTGTATTTTGGACCCTCGTGCTAAAGAATTAGAAGAATTACCCAAAAATATTGATTATGCATGTAGTCTTTCAGATTGTACTTCATTGGGGTATGGTTCTTCCTGCAATCATTTGAGTGCCAAGGGTAATGCTTCCTATGCATTTAACATGTATTATCAATTCAAAAACCAGAATGGGTGGGATTGTGATTTCTCAGGCTTGGCCGTTGTCACAGATGAAGATCCCTCTGATGACGAATGTCAGTTCCCAGTGATGATTGCAGATGGTCATTCAATGGCACTGCTGCACAAGACACTGCTGAACATTTTGCTGGCTGTTCTTGAAGGATGCGTTGTGTTTTTGCTTCTCATCTCCTAATATTTAGACAGCGACATGGAGAGAAGTATTCTTTTTTCTTTTTTTTTAGTGGAAAATCAAGAGTCTGACATATATTTGTGCAGATTATAACAGTGGCTATTTGTAGAGTTGGATCATAATTGAGGATTCTGCATCTCTTTGATTATGTCTCATTTATTCCTTTGATCCAATATTCTTTGTAAATATGCTAGCGGTTAGAGGTGGCAATTTCCATCCATTTCCATTTAACCATCCATATCCATCTCACTTAAATGGTTTTGGATTATTAAAAAAATTTAGATGGACATTAATGGACATCCAAATAAAACCAATTGGCTTGATGGTTTCAAGTGGATCATCCATCTAAATCCATTGGACAAATTACACTTTATCCCCCCCGGTGATTTAGTGTTTTTGTACATAACTTTCATATAGTTTCAAAAGTTATATATAACATTCTCATAATTTGAATTAGAGTGTCAAAGTAACGGAATTTGCAATCCATAATAGAGTCACCTAAAATATCAAAAATACCCTGTGTAAAATTAAAAATTAGTTATTAACCTCAGGAAGGTTATGTGCATATTTTGAAAATCATAAAGGGGTTATATGATAAAACATTAAATCATAAGGGAGTTATATGGTAAAGTATAAAATCATACAGGATTAGATCGTCATGTATATTATGTTTATATATTTTAATCACTTTAGTCATTTTAATTTTTAAATAACGGTAATTTCAATATTTTTAAAGGTTCCGTTATGAATGATCATTTCTGTCACTTTGACACTTTAATTCAAATCATAGGAGGGTTATGTATAATTTTTGAAATCATAAGGGGATTATGTATAAAAATACTAAATTATATGGGGGATAAAATATAATTTGCCGAAATTCATTTAAGAAGGTAACAAGCAAACCCAACATGTTTTGGTAGTACCACTGTTTTCTTATGATGCTGAGGGGCCGCTTGGTTAAAAGGATTGCGAATCACGGAATGAACTAATTTCCTTATTTGTTACTTGGGTTAAACTTATTGGAATCATTTTTAAAAAATCGGACTTCTTCCATTCCAGAACAAATTGGGGGGTTTTGGACAAAACCCTCAAATTATTCCTTCACAACATTTATGGACAAATCTACCCATCACATATAATTAACGCCTCTGCTCTCTCTCTTTCTATCACACACCCCTCACTCTCTTGTTCTTCTTCATCAGTTTTTCTATCATCCCATATATTCTTCATCTCTTATCCAAAATCTCTTAAAAAAAAAAAGATCTAAAGTAAATCTAAATGGGTTAACAGTGGACAAATATCTTGAGTAGACAATTTGTTCAACAAAATCTCCAAAAGAAATATCTGCAAGAAAAACTGAAAAAGAAAACTCAACCCTCAACCCTCAACGATAAAATCTTTCCTTTTTCTCTTTTCTAGTTTTCTTCTTCCCTATTTTGTTTCTTTTAACTAACTAGCTTGTATTGGATTTGTTTAATCAAATTCCAATTGAATCAGAAGGGATGGTGGTGAAGATGATGAAGTGGTCGCCGTGGCTGATTCTGGCCACCAGAAGGTACAAGGTGAAGGTGAAAATCCTTGAAGCTCCTCCTCCTCCTAGGATGTTCGGATGATGATGACATCGACATTGACCATGGTGATTGTGCTCTAGATCAAGGAGACGTTGAGGAAAAAGTTATAGCCGTCAAGATGAGATAGAAAGGCAAACCCAAGTTTGCATTGGTCCCTTTTCATCTACCATTCTCCAAACAATGCAGACATTTTTCCAAGGAAAAGGTTGTGAAAAAATTGAAGGAAGGGAATATTAAGGCCATTGAATGGAATGATGAGGTGTTGGAGTTGGAGAATTTCTGCAGCTTTACAATTGTGTCAACCAGTCAAGATGGTCAAACACTCATCAAACCAAACATGCTAGTTTCAGCGTGTGAATCAAACTAAGATATTAGAATGAAAAATTTAATTCCAAAACTAGAGTTCATGATTTCATTTCCATTTCCGATTCCAATATGTGAAACAAGCAACTGAGTAAATATTCCCAGTCCAAGATGCTATTCAGCTCTTCTAACTCACGCGGTCAAAGGTTTCTTCTCAATCAGCGTATTCCAATTTTTTGCATGCTTTATTTATTTTCTTTTTCCATTTTTATTCTTCTTAGTTATCAAAACTCATCTTATTAATTAACTTAGGAGTGTCATTTTAAGCTGCATGTTGTTAGTTAAAGAAATTAGCTGTTGTTTGGATAGGATATTTTTCAAATAATTATTTGAGATAATTACTATAGTACTTTTTTATGATGCGATGTATGTGAGATAAAAAGGTGGTTGGGAATATAAAAAAGATGGATTGAAAAATATATTTATGATATAAGAGAAATTTTTTTTAGAAAAATTTTACTATCCAAATATTTTGGATTCAATCCATATACAACCATTTATTATATGGATTTAAACGAATTGCACCATTTAATTCATGATACCAATTATGATCTATATCCATTTTACCACTTTTACTAGTGGTTCACTGAACAGAATTTGATGAACATATAATGTAAAATTATCTTTTATTTTGGCAATCATTATTCTATTCTAAACTTCAAACTCTAAGTTTTACTTCATTCTCTTAGTTTGGACCAAAACTTTATTCAGTTTGAAAGTCTTTAACTTGGATACTTCTTTTCTCTATATTATATTTTAAATCCGTCAAAATCTACTTCAATTCAATGTTTAGTGTGTAATTTATGTTGTGTTTGGATTGCAATTTTCTAAAGTTTTTATAGAAAATGTAATATAGTGATTTGATATATATATAAGATAAAAAGGTGATTGGAAAATGTGTTCATAAAAAAAAAGATTTTTTGATAGAAATGTGTTCTCTAACCAAAAAAACATTTTGTCACGCTATATAAGCTTGACTAGAATTTTCTGTTTCTGTCTAAAATTCCAAGTTTTTCCTAATATGCAAAGACGTGCTTGTAATCTTCATGGGAGTTTTTTTTTTGAGGGAAGAATTTATCTTCATGAGAGCTAAAATTCCTGAACGGCAACAGAGCCTAAAAATTAATCCAATTTATTTATTTTTACTTCTCGCAGAATATCAAAAGTCCACCCTGTCCTGTTTCCTCTCCTCCACGCAAACAAGACTCGTTAACGGGGGTCCCATCTCTGACACCCTTTTAAATAATCGGCGCAGCACAGTACGTCACCACCCCGTATCTAGCTATCGACTCTCTTTCGACAAATTTCACTGCACCTCCGTTCCAGATCTACTCTTTTTTAATTTCCAAATTTTATTCTTACACATCCATTTGCAATTTAGCGCGTTTAGAATTAGAGAAGAGACGAGAGAAATTTTCTTTATGTAATTTCCGCTTGCTCCAAAGCAAGCAATGCCTGTCAAACCCACTTCTTTCAGAGATCGGACGCTAGAGTTTCAGAGCGTCGCCGACAGGCTCAGGAAATCATCGTCCTCGGCTTCTAATGCCCCCAGCAGTAGCGGAGCCGGAGCCTACGACGCCGGCAGCGGGGGCTTCGCATCCACGGCTCAACCTTCTCGATCCGCTGCCCCGATTCAATCCGAATTCAACCGGAGAGCTTCCAGAATCGCGCTAGGGATCCACCACACCTCTCAGAAACTGTCCAAGCTTGCTAAATGTCGGTACTAAATCCTCCTTTTTTACGTTTCTTTTTTTTCCCTAAACTGAATTATTCCTTAAATTTCTACCTTAGGTTTAGGTTTGCATTTAGGCAATTGGATGGAAAGTATTTCTTGGGAGGAACTGGAAAAATTCGAAATTGCATGTCAGGATTGTTGATTAATATATGGTATGGAGCTTTAATTTGGAGCGATCTGAGTTCTCATTTAACTCTTATATATATGTATATAATCTCACTTTTGCTGGAATTGAAGTGATTTAATTACTGAAGTTTTACGTCACACGGCTATTTTGTAATTAACTATAACCAACTGCCTTGGCAATGGTTCAGTATTCACAGTATATTTGGATGGACCTACTAAGTGCATTTTTTTCCCATGCCATCTAATAGTAGTTAGCTGGTTTGAAATGTGGCATCTTTAGAAGGTTGTTGTTCAAAAAAAAATTTAAGAAGAAAGATAACAAGGGAAACTAATTGTCTCAATCAATAGAGTTACTGTTTGAAGTAGAATTTAGATCTCCCATTAGGCTGAAGATTTGGATGTAATATGGCTGTAACTAGCCTTGTGTAGCTTCAAGCAGTTGGATTTAGATCTCATATAAGAATGAAGATGTGGATGGAATATGGCTGTAACTAGCCACGAGCTTGAACAGGGTGTAGTATTCTTGGAAAAAGCAAACTAATAAACCTTAATTTGACTTATTCAAAACTATTCCATTGATTGACTTTGTGAACAATGTTTTGTACGATCACTTGTGCTAATAGCCCATTTTCAGAGGAAGTTGAAGTGGGGTTATTTCTCATTGAAATGCAAACCCTGTACATATTGGAAAGTTTGTCACTGCTTCTTAGAGTTGCTGGGCGACTGCATTTGTATTCTAATTTATGTGGTTGAACTAGATTTATGCTGCATGAACACCATTCTCAAGTTGAATCTTCTTTGTTCTTTTCAATAACAAAAGAAAGGTCTTGAAACAATTTATGTTATTTCAGTGGCTAAGAGATCATCAGTTTTTGATGATCCAACTGTGGAAATTCAAGAGTTGACAGCTGTAATCAAGCAGGATATTACAGCACTTAACTCTGCCGTGGTAGACCTCCAGCTCCTAAGCAACTCCCAGAGTGAAAGTGGTTTGTCAACTGATAGCGCTGCACATTCAACTACAGTTGTCGATAACTTGAAGAATAACTTGATGGGTGCCACACAAGAGTTCAAAAATGTACTAACCAAACGGACAGAGGTATACTTCTTGTTATTAAATGGAATGGGGTAGCTATTAACGTTTATCTGGGGATACAGTTGGTTCTGTTTCTTTGATGTGGTTTAGTTGTTTAAATATATTACCATTGTTTTTAACCTCAGAACCTCAAGGTTCATGAAAACCGAAGGCAGTTGTTTTCAAATACAACAAAAGAATCTGCCAATCCTTTTGTTCGCCAGCGCCCCTTGGTGAGCAGAACATCATCCAATTCTGCAATATCTCCCCCTCCATGGGCAAATGGCTCCACTTCTTCATCTCAGTTGTTTCCAAGGTAAATATGATAGTTTACAGATCTGGCCTTGGACTTGAATATGTTTGCATTATAATTATAATGAGCCAGTGGAGCCTTAGTCAGGAGCTGAACTTTTTAATATCCTCTAGATTTCATTGCTTTTGAAGTCTGGCAAGGAGATAATGATATCTTAATAAACTCTGATTCAGAACTGTAATGTCCTGTAGATCAAGTAATCTTCCAGTGATAAATCTTGACATTCTATGTTTAGCTAGAAATTTTTTTTGTCACCGTTCTTTTTTGTCATACATAAACAGGTGGGAAGTTTTCTACTAACTGTTGCCATGTTACATTCTTTCAAAAACTTTTTGGCTGCCAATGATCAATTAAAGGCTCTTCTTTCTGTCTGTGCTGAACATTTTATAATCCTTTTGACAATGTGACGAGGTATATTTAAAAAAAAAAAGGTTTACAGGAGAAGAAAATGTATTAGGAATTTGGCAATGCCTTGAAATTCATTTGCTTCCTTTTGTAAAATTATTTTTTCCAACTAGATAAATGAAAATTTTAATTTACCCTGAATGCATCACTAGGAGGTTCATATTCTTGTATATGAAAAAGCAAATTCTAAAAAACCTTCCAATGTAAATTCCTGCTCTAGATGCTTTGCGAACTTGGACCTCATTGTGAACTTCTCTGTTTTTCCAGGAACCAAGCAGATGGCGAATCGCAACCATTGATGCAGCAGCAGCAAAACCAGCAGCAGCAGCAGCAGCTGGTTCCCTTGCAAGACAGTTACATGCAAAGCAGAGCTGAAGCCCTTCATAATGTCGAGTCAACTATACATGAGCTTAGCAATATTTTCACTCAATTGGCAACAATGGTTTCTCAGCAAGGCGAAATTGCTATTAGGTTGGTTTGCTACTTTTATTTCCAGAATTCTTTTTTCTATTATCACTTCTGGTTTTATTGGCTATAGGGCTTCACTTGTTGTTCAGCATGCATCTATTTTTATTCTTATCAACAATTCATATTTTGGTTAGTTTTGCGCTCCCAAGCCTGGTCAAAGTTTTTTTTGACCGTGAATTGTAACTCCCACAGATGACTCTGAAGTCATGTCACTTACTAAGAAGACTTGTTTTGCCAATATACTGGAAAGTTGGATCATAAGATGGGGAAAAAATATTTGGTGATCAATACTTTGCTTAAAAGCTAATAATAATCAGCATGTGAACGGGTTAAGGGGCAGTAAGGTCTTAAATATTGAATCCTTTAGGACTTTGGAGTTATGTGCCAAAAGTAGGACTTACTTCCAAGTCCGAAGGCTTTTGATAAGATTTGTTGGTCCATCATACATTAAAAAGAGAAAAAATTGATATTGGTGATTCTTGATCTTTTCTTTGCTCTGTCGTCCTTGAGTGCATAGTAGAACAGGTTTCATCGACCATTTATAGATAGGTGAGCCACAGCATGCATAAAACATAAGAATGTAGATTACAAAAACATTTGTTTATCACAACATGACTATAGATTACAGCATGCTGTCTGGCTATGAAGAGCCAGTGTTGTATAATATTCGTTGATCATGACATGCTGTTTTGATACAAGAAAATGCACTAGTTTAGAGCTTGTCTGGAAATGAATCATTGTCATGTTTAGATACTTGACTATAGTATAGACTACTACTTCTGATTTATTATTCTTCTCTTTTTGGACTACTTACTCGAGGATGGCCATCAAACTCACTTCATAATTTTATGAGTGGCAGAATTGACGAAAACATGGAAGATGCCCTTGCAAATGTGGAAGGGGCACAAGGGCAGCTGGTCAGGTACTTGAACAGTATATCATCGAACAGATGGCTGATGATCAAAATATTTTTTGTTTTGGTTGTATTCCTCATGATTTTCCTATTCTTTGTTGCCTAAGATATCCAATAAAGAAGTATTTTATGGAAAGATAAAGTTACGTCAATTTTTTCCATCGATTTTGAGAAAGTTGTGCAATCCTGTTGTCTATGCTTCAAGATACGGAACATAATCTCACTTTTAGTCAAAGGAATTTACCTTCACGTACTCATGAGTGGGCGGTTTAGCCTCTTCGAATGTGATTCTGAACCATTCAATTTGGAGATAATTTAGCTGGATGTAAATTAATCGTGGACCTTGATTAGGTTCCTAACTTATGGTTTGTTTGGATTGGGCTTTATTTTTCCAAATTTATTTGCTTACATCATCATTCCAATTTTCAATACACCTTTTTACCTTCCCAATTACCTTTTTATCTCACATACATCACATCACAAGAAGTGCAACAGTAAAAATATCTCTAATAATTCACAATCCAAACAGATTATTAATTCGTCTATACCAATTTTACTTCCGTATGCTGTCCCACGTTCTTGCTAATTGTAAGAACGGCTGTACGTTTTGGTTGCTTGTAAATGTCGCCGTAGTTTTTGGCAGCTGTACTTGTTGGATTCTGGAAACATCCTCTTCAGAATTATCTTCTCTCTTATCCTCTCCCTCTTCCATTACGTTAGACAGCGGAGTTTCTATTTTGGAAACGATTGTTTCACTAGTTGGAATAAGCTCCGACGATTTTGAGATTCTACTCCTATTTCGAACCATTTGCATTTCCCCCATGTCAGACGCCAAACTCTGCTTAAATTACTTGAACGATTCGAATCTCCAGTCAAGGACTGCATTATGAGGTATGCATTTTATAAATACGAATGTGGTAGACCTAAATGTCATTGTGCTATTCCAATTACACGTTTCAAAGTTCTCTCTCTGTCTCTCTCTCTCCCTTTTTTTTTTGTGGTATATATGACCATTTACTATGTTTTGGGAAACAAAAATTGATAGTATTTACAATGAACCAAATGGTAAGCTATTAGTTTAGTGGTTAAGATTAACACACCAAAAAATAAAATTTTGGTTCAAATCTTCCTCTTCCCCTTCTCAAGTTCTACTTTTTCCTTGTATTTTTTTTTTAAATCTAAGTGGTAAGTTGCGTAATTGCAATGGCATGAAATTGTGAGCCAAGAACAAACAGTAAACACCATAATCTTCCTAATTATTAATTTTTTGCCTTTTTACACAAAAAAATTTTCCCAATCAGTATTTGTGTGTCATAGTAACAAATATTTTACAAACAAAAGTAGTATAATTCAAATATTTGGAAAATGTTATTTAACACTTTTTAAAAAACCTCAGACACTCTTTTCTTAGTTTCACATTAGATGAAGTTTAAGAAATGCCTGTTTTACATTAGATAATGTTTAAGGAGTGCTTGAAGTTTTTTGATGAATGCTAATTTCATTTTCCAAATATTTGTCTAGCGCATCTCAAAAAGGGAGAACAAAGTGTAATAACCAAAAAGATTAAGATAGTTTTGATTCGTTAAAAAATAAAAAACTTTCTGTTGCCAAATGCCATTTCCAAAGACCTTGAAGCGGTCTCTATGGAAATTCCAAAGGATTGGGGGGTGAAATAGGAAATAAATGGAAAAAAAAAAAAAACAAACAAACAAGAAATAAGAAATAAGCTCTGCAACAACAAGCCTATAAATTCCCCGGTTTTAAATTTGCCTAAATTTACATGTCATAATCCCACTGACCAGTAATAGAAAAGGAAATTTCATCGTATTCTTTTCTTTTATTTCACTCCTCAGATCTAACAAGATTTCAAGAATATAAACAATACAGACAAATCTTTTTTGATACTTATGTTGTATATATATAGATACACACAATTTAGGATTTTGGATGCCGGGGCTTGCTCAGTTGATTCTAAGATAGTAGAGATAGTTGTTAAAAGTAGAAACGATGCCTGTGAAAACGACATCGTATAGAGATCGAACGCATGAGTTTGAGAGTTTAGTGGAGAAGCTCAAGAAGCCATCCTCATTATCACCGGCTTCCACTGCACCGAGTAGCAGTTCGGGCGGTGGCTTCGATGGCAACCCCACATCCGCACCTCAGGAGACGACGCGATCCGCTGCTCCGATTCAGTCGGAGTTCAACAAGAGGGCATCCAGAGTCGCGTTGGGGATCCATCAGACCTCGCAAAAGCTATCTAAGCTTGCCAAATGTTAGAAACTGCTTCTCTGCTTATTTACTGAATTAGGTGATCATTACACTTAGTTTCGGATTGGATTATCTAGTTATATCTGGTGTTTTAAGTAATTTTAATTTTACGTAAAGAAATTGAATCATGAGATCAATACAAAATTATTGGAGAATTATGAAATTATATGGCAAAAATTGATAAAACAATTATGCTTATGCACTGCAAGATGTTGAGAATTTAAACGATTGATTTTGATTTTGTGAATTTTTGTTATTATAGGTGGTTGATATATTTAACTTTGGTTTTTCCAACTAAGTTATTTTAGTTTTTGAATTATATGTTAATCGAAAAACAAAAGTTGTTTTGCACTAAGAAGCAATATAGGAGTTGTTTGGAGGAAAAATCACTTATCAAAAAAAAAAAAAAAGGTGGATGGAGAAACAGAGAAATTCTGATGAGCAGCCAGTCAAGTATCAGAAACTAGGTCCATTTATTCTTGTTATAAAGTACTGTGCGTCTGGAAAATAGATGGAGTCGTCCATATACAGTTAAATCCATCCCTAGTTTGAAGATGACTGGCCATTGGCGGTGTTAGGATTTTAACTTATTGTTCTATGCAATAGTTATGTCATGCAATGAAGGCAACTACATGATTTAGAGTCGGATACTTTTGCAATTACCAGAAATCTGATGTGATCTTTCTCTCACGGCACCATCTATTGCATCAAAAGTCCACATGTTGGGTTAATCATGTATGTGAAATACCTGGAAAATAACAAGGCACTTGACATAATTTTAGTTTTCACAGTGGCAAAGAAAACATCAGTTTTTGATGATCCAACATTGGAGATCCAAGAGTTGACTACTGTAATCAAGCAGGACATCACTGCACTAAACTCAGCTGTAGTAGACCTTCAGCTCCTATCCAACTCCCAAAATGAGGGAAATTTGTCTAGTGACAGCTCTGCTCATTCAACCACTGTTGTTGACAACTTGAAGAATAGCTTGATGACCACTACAAAGGAGTTCAAAGAAGTCCTTACCTTGCGAACCGAGGTGTTTTGTCTGTCAGTGAAGAAGTGCTCTACTACTGCAGATGTTTTTCATTGCTAAGCGTTTGAGTTTTTTGGTTGTAGAATATGAAGGTGCATGAAAACCGGAGGCAGTTATTTTCTTCATCTGCTTCAAAAGAGTCTTCTAATCCGTTCATTCGCCAACGCCCATTAGCTACCAGGGCAGCTGCTAGTGCCGCAATATCTCCCCCTCCGTGGGCCAGCGAGCCCAGTACTTCATCCCAGTTATTCCCAAGGTATATAGTCAAACCTTGTTAAGCCTGGTTTTGAGCTTCTTAATGTTATTGCATAACAAATATATGAGCTTATGGAGGTTGGGTCTAGTCCTCTCAAACTTTGGTAAATTTCAACTGTTTGGTAATTGACTGATTCACTTCTGAGGTTTTTCAGTGCCAACTATTTGAAATTTTTGCAAATTAAATTTATGTTAGCTAAATATGCTAAATCTGGTTGACATCTACTTTCAATCAAGAATGCTCATTGTGAAGTCTTGGCTGGTAATGAGTATTTTAGCCCTTTAAATTGTGGCATTGGAACGCTCTTGGAGGCAAAAGGTTCCTCTTTGCCACTAAGTTATTGTATACAAGCATCTAGAAAGTTAGCACTATCCATTTGGGATATCTTCATTGACATTCTGAGCTGCATCATGTTGTACATTATAATGAAGAACGTGTATAAAAGCTGTTTGTCTTGGCAAGAATAATTAATTGCAGAACTTTTTTAACCAAATTTTCCAGGAACCAGGCAGAAGGTGAATCACATTCATTGCTTCAACAACAACAAAGTCAACAGCAGTTGGCTCCATTGCAGGACAATTTCGTTCAAAGCAGAGCCACTGCCCTTCAAAATGTTGAGTCAACAATTCATGAGTTGGGCAATATCTTCACCCAATTAGCAACAATGGTTTCTCAGCAGGGTGAACTTGCAATCAGGTTGGTCCACATTTGTATTTTCACACAAATGCTTTTCAGCAAAGAGCTCATGTTTTTTGGCTACACAGCATTTTTATGTGTCCTTTGCTGTGAATTGATTTGTTATTTGAATGAGGCTGGTGGATTCAGCTCATAGACTATTATGCTGATGTGATTTAATAATTTGACCACTGCATCTTTTCATGAATTAGAGTCAGTATGATCTCAATAAATGGTCAGCGGTGGTACGTTGATCGGCTTAGAAAGGGTTTTAGAATTCCCTAAATTACTGCTTAACGGACTTGGAAACAAGATTACTGCTATTCTATTTCCATGTGGACTTTATTTCATGATGCTTCTTGGAGGAGAAAAATTGAGCATTTTATTGATTTTATACTTCATATGAGTGGCAGAATTGACGAAAACATGGAAGATACCCTTGCAAGTGTGGAAGGTGCACAGAGCCAATTGATGAGGTACTTCAACAGTATCTCCTCAAACCGATGGCTGATGATCAAGATATTCTTCATAGTGATTCTCTTCCTCATGATTTTCTTATTCTTTGTTGCTTAAGATTACGACTCAATCTTATATGATTCAAAGGAAAGCTGTTATACTTCTGTTACTGCAATTCTTTAGCCAGCTATGTGCTCCCCTCTTCTCTAATCTTGAAGGTCCAAAAGAAGATGATATATTGATTCAAAAGAGACGGAAAAGGATTGAACGGTTATGCGTATGGAGCAATTTCGTTATGTCTGTGCGACTCCTTGCAATCCAAACTTTTGAGGCATGCTGGCTCTAAAACTATTTGAGGTCCTAGGCCTTACATTTCTGTGTAGCTTGGCTTGTGCCAACTGAAGTAGTGTAATTTTCATCCTTAGTCTGTTTCTTTTAAGCTTGTCATTCTGTTTGGAGCTTAGAGAACATTCACGTACTTGGTTCTCGCAGAAATTATATGTTTTCAATTGCTTATTACCTAAATTTCACTGGGGAATTACGATTTATAACCAAAAGTTCAACTAGCTTGATGGAGCTTACTAACGTAGATAACTGAAGTCACTCTCAGCCTCTAAAAATATGTAAAGCTAGACAACTGCCCAAGGTTATTAAATCAAGGGTAAAAAATAAAAAATCCCCTTGTAGTAAATTTAATATACAGAAAAGTCTTCCG